CTGACACGACTGATACAGGATCTTCTCCCTCTTTCAAAGAGCGGTAGGGTGTAAGGACAAGCCCGAATGGGAGTTTGGATTTCCGAAGTAGCGAATCTGTAGTTGGAATAGCGTTCAGAGTGCAGCGTTGGTACGAATAATCCGCATTGGCTGTCAGGCTATTAGAAAGCGTTGCCTAAAGGCGGGTGAGACTAGCATCAATAAATGCATCGTTGGTTCAAACGGTATCTTCGCGTACCCCAGGAGGAAGACGAATCTCCGGTGGAGGTGCAAGTAAATCCCGAGGATCGAGATATGCTCCAACGAGATTCAAAGTGTGCAGAGAATACTGAATCCATGAAATCCATACAGGCGACGAACAATTCAGCAACCGGCCAGAGCAGAACGCGACTGCTCCCTCACCTGCTTCTGACCGAATGCATGCTGCTGCTGTAATCCCATTTGCGAGAACTGATCTGCCAGTACGCCCACGTTTTGAGGTTGGTGCTGTGGCTGTTGTCCGTAAGCCGCATTCGGTGCGTATCCCTGAGGATATGAGTCTCCCAGAGCTGCGGCGGGAGTGTGATATGCTGGCGGTTGAGAAGACTGTTGCTGCTCTGCCGGCGAAAAGAAGGCAGGTTGACCTTGAGCTCCAGCAGTACCAAGATGCTGGTCCACAGGATAAGGCGCTTGTGCGTTGCCTCCATCGGCACTGTAATATGCCTGAGTCTGGCCTGCCGCATACTGTCGCCGCTTGGCATGCGGGGGCCCTGGTTGTGCTACTGCTTGTACTGGCGGCTCCCATTGCGTTTGGCCAGTCGTTTGATCTGAGGATTGTCGCGGAGAGCACCAAGACATGAAGTTAGATGTGAGCTGAAGTTGAAGTTGAATTTGCATGATGCTTTGCACGTGTACGAACCAGTAAAGAGATGTCGCTGGTGTGTGTCATCCCTTCCCAGTGTGGAGAAGCATTTGAGTCTACAATGGGAGATCGCACCAACGTTAGACTCACCAATGAGCTGTCCACCCGGGGGGCAGTTGTGGATCGGCCATATTTGTGGATAGCAATGTCGCGGCAAAAAGCACGCTTCAAATGTCAATGAAGAACGTCGCCCCAGACTAGTTTGAGCAGCAGCTGCAAAATGAGGATCTCCAAGCCTCTTCACGAATAGGGATATTGCGTTGCAGACTAGAAGATGTTTAGATCGTGCACACCACCACACACCCTTGAAGAGCAGGCACCACATAAATTCCATTCGTGAGTTAGACTAATACAGGGCGGTTCCTAAAGTAAAATGTCCAATGGATCAACGAGAGAGAGGTTCTAGCCCCTTGATTCGTCCGCCGACCCGGGAGCCCCCCTCTTCAGACCGTGCGCTGGGCCCGGGTGTAGGCGCAGTACTCGGACGAACGATCTGCTTCTTCTTCACCAGCAACGGAGCCGCTACGACTTTCTTCTTCTTCTTCTTTTTCTTTTTCGGAGCTTCTGGAGGAGGTGTGGCTTCTGATGGCGGCCCTCGAGCAAAGGAGGACATACCATCTCCTTCCACAGGTGTCGGCCCATCCACAATGACGACTATATCAGTTTGCAACGCAATCTCCATGTGGTGTTCAGATTCCGGGTTGGGGTAGTGACGATCCGGCCGTGGTGCCCGCTCTTGTTTTTGCACTGGCTCCTGGATCTGGAACGGCGCCTCTTGCGAGGGACCAGCAGGTCTTTGGGAAGGCGATGGCTGCTCACTCGGGATGGATGTATCAGGTTGCTTTACATAGACGTGTTGATAGGTCCGATCTGGGTTTGGTCGTCGGTATTGTGGCGGTGGCTTGAGATCCGGGACCGATCGACCATTCGCAGAAGAATGTTGATGTTCAAGCACCCGCGGCCTTGGAAGTAAACCCATCTGTTGAGACAGTTGCTCTAGTGGCGGCGCAGGCTTCCGATAATGTGGCTGTTGCGTTTGCGCGCGTTGTGGGTACTGGGGCTCGGATCGCTCTCGCATTTGATGTGTAAGGATCGGTCGATGGAACTGCTGAAGCTGCACACGACTAGGCTGGCGAGAAACGGGACCTGTCGATGGGGCCTCTTGGTCTTCAGCAATTATCTCCATCTCCATCCCATTCCCACCGTCGCCATGCCCGTCTTGCATCTTCGCTTCATATTCTCCGATTATTGTCTCCTCATCCATATTCACATACGTGGCACTGCTCTCCCCTCGCTCGTGATTATGATATTGTTGTCGGCTGGTAGCAAAGCCTCCAGAGCGAGGACTCCCAGAGCTGCCTGGAAAGCTTCCAGTGGTAGCGGTTGACGGGGGACTTCGGCCATCGTAGGCAAGCTCTCCCAAGCTTGGAGTTTGTGCCGTCTCCGGGGTACGAGGCTGAACGTAGATTGTCGCCCTATCCTGTGCATTCGGGTGGGGTGCAATCCGTGCCCCAACACCCGGCACCAGCTGACCGGGGCGCAAAGGGTACACTTGGCCAAGTATACCCGCCTTGACTTTCTTCATCTTCGCTTTAAAGTAAGCCTGGCGCATATTGAGGATGAGCCGCGAGCCCCCGATGTTGACGCCCGAGTGGAAGAACGACAGTCCGATAATGTTGACGCCATTCTACGAGATTGGAGGACCGCAATTAGCAATCAAAGACTTTAGTAATTCTTGGTGCGGCACTCACAACTCCGGACGCTAGGTCCGCCGAGTTCCAGATAATCAGGATGAGGATGAGCCCGAACCATACCACAGAGTCGAGCACGAGTAGTTTCAGAAAGTTCTGTTTCCTATTCACGGATTCTTGATCCCTCGTATGCTGTCGCGCCTTTCGTACGACGAGGAAACAAAGCCATGCGTCAAAGACCAACCCGGGAAGCCAGGCCACAAAGAGGTACGTCGGAACCTATAATAAAGGTATGTAAGTTCGCCAATCATGTACATATACAGTGTAATGCCACATACTATACCCCAGCATCCCGAAGAAGGTCGTGGTGCGGGGAAAGCTGTGACGGATGGACCAGCAAAGATAATGAAGCTCGCAGTGCCAACGATGACACCCCCATAAAAGATAGAGTTAAAGATAAGGAGCCGGCGATCGCAATGATACATGGCGTGTACACGAAACTAGAACGGAAGATATAATCAGTTGGAGCTCTAACCCGTTAAGCAGGATCCATGCGTACTTGAAGGGTCCTACAGTAAAAGTCACGTTAGTGCGCAGACAGGAAGTGGCAAATAGATGCGACTACTTACAGCTGGACGATGAAGAGCATGATTGTCGAGCAACTAACAAGAATCCAAAAGTAACTGGTGCAATACTATCGGATGAGTTAATGAAACACGTCGTAGAAAATCGAATACTTCGCTGTAGACTCACAAGTTGAGTGAGCCCCTTTGTGAGGCATGTAATCACGTCGAAGAACTGGAATCCATACGCAAAGTAGCGAGTGAATGCGTAGATGGCCGTTCCAAAGGTCCATTTCCGTCTCTGGAGGAAACAGAGTCAGTAGTCAAGAAGCCCAACTAATAACAGAATATTCACTGACCCAAACATAGTTGATCTCGTCACCAAGATTGAGAGCTAGATCCAAAGAAGATGGAATAAGTTGGACTACATTGATTAGCCTGTAAGCGAGACATATAGAGAATGACGCACTCCAGTCGTAGAACATAGCAGTAAAGGCGGCAAGTTGAGAATATCGAACGAGCTGAGAGGTCGGTGCATATTCCACGAAACCCTTCAGATAGACCAAGATCTGCAAAGGGTCGACTTGAAGAGCGCCTCCCATTGGATTCCCCTGCCCACTATTCAAGGCAGACGTGGCCTCGGGAGGATGAAAATGACAAGGTCAAAGTATGAAGGGGGGTAGAGAGTAGAGTAGAGAGGATAAGTCAAATGACAGTGCCACGCAAGAGGGAATGTAAAGCTCAGATGTGTTTCAAGGATTGTCGGCAAGTGTGACCTCCGGTCCTGGACTGTCATTTCTCCGATTAGGCAATCCTAACAAACCATTCCAGCACGGGACCGGCAATCTAGTCTTCGCAAGCGCGAACCCTCTTAAGGGGCCGAAACCGTTGGGTCGGGCGTAGATGCACATGGTTATCTATGGTTATGAGATAATCCCTTAGGTATAAGCGAGAGATTAGAATGGTCTTCAGAGAAGATGACGTATCGAAAATCCCGATGTGTGAACGAATTACAGTCCGGTGACTGGCCACGCTGAACAGAAGCGAATACCGCTCCAGTAACCACAGTGATTAACGCCGTTATCGGCTTTGCATCGTATCTTGAACAAAGGTCCATTCAGTAGTATTTTGTTCTACTGAGATTTGCATAATAGTCCCCTCTTGGAACACGTTTCATCCAGGAGTCAGGTCAACCTTTCACTCGTAGATAATCGAAGCTGGGGGATCGTCACATAAGATGAGACATTTGGTACTTCTTATATGATCTCTATGGCTTCTTGCGATTCCTCCACTGCAATCTTCTAACCCCGTCATACACCATGCTACGTCCCATGCATGATCAAACTTAGCCGTCTTTCAGTGTCTAGTCTCCGAAATATACCAATTCTTCGGCCTACAACGAGTCCGTTGAGGAAATCGAAGCAAAATGAGCAGCTCGCCACAAAGAAGTTCAATAACTACTACGCCAGATAACGCTACCGATATCAATCGTAGGTATCCGAGCGATTCAGTCGTTATCTTATAAGGACTTTCGCTAATTAGGCTGCAGTTTAGGGTTGCGTTTCCTGGGCGTTGACGCTGGAGTCACCATGAGACTCGGATATGCCATGCGACTAGCTCCTTATGAAAGTTTCCCTATGTTCGGCCTACATGTATTGAGGAGCGCGCTAACTAGAACCGTTCCAGATCTCACGCAAGGGCCATGGACATGCTTATCGTTGATGCGAACAAGCTCAAGAGCCGAAGTGCATGAACTATTATTGTCTATATCACATTTCATTTCATGGGCTGTGAATTCAATTTAGAAGATTTGATTTTAAATCATCTTGAAAAAAAAAAGGTCTATGGAGTACATAGGAGTCGAACCCATTACTTCTCCCAGCTAAGTACATCCAATGAATGTTTGCTAAGGGAGCGCTCTACCGATGAGCTAGAACCCCTCTGTGAAAGAGGGTCCAAAATGTTTCCTCCTGTCATTGTAATGTTAGGCATTTGTATTCTGTACGCCCCTTTGCTCATCCGCCGCTCACCACAGCAAGGATGACGACCGCTGGCTACTCAAATATTTCGGCTATCCTTGAGCTGTCAACAAACTAATCAACTTGGAAGGACTAAAGCTCCAAATAGGGTAGAGGGTTGTAAACACAAGGCGCGCTGTTAGGGTCATACTGTACTAACTCCTTTCACACTTCCCTACCCTCGGCTCCTTGTGGAGGACGTCGCCCTCTTTTGAACGTGTCCTTTGCCTTATTTTCAGCTCGTGAACTTCTGTTGATGAGGACAGGACTTGAGATACAGATTCATCGAGATACTCAGCTACTATATCATTCACATTGCTGTGAAACTGGACTGTGTCAATTGCAGCTCTAAATATCAGCGCGCTGATTATAATACATGTCATCTTCCTCGATTCTTATATGGTATGGGTGAAGTTGGTCATTTATGCATCTCGAGAAATGAAGCTGCCAAGGACAGTCAATGATGAAATCAAGCCACAGGGCCGCTCCCTGACCATTTTTTGCACCACCTGTATTCCATCACTGTGGATTGCAGCTATCTATTTATATAACTACTGAACACAAAGCGGGTGAGTAAATAACATGTGGATTGCATGCCTTGCGATTGAAAGGTTATCTTGAGCAAATGTTGTGATAATATCAATGATTGCCATGATCCTGAACGACGCCCTCTGCAGCGAAGCGGCAACGTACTCGATTAACGTCTGCCGGGAAGAAAAGCCTATGTACGCTAACTAAGACCCATTAGGAGCCGACCGCGTAGTAATTACCGATACAAGTAACATAATACAGCTCGCACGCTTTTTAACGCTCAACTTTACTACCTTTCCTTGGGTCACCATTCAATTTACCGAAATCCTCCATAGGCAAACTTCCTTGATGCCCTTTCGTCGCGCTACATACGTTTTCCCATGCTTTCTGTTTCTCGCACTACTCTCGTTAGCTAGGCCTGCCCACGAGTAAGTGACAAAATTTCCCGTGACTTCGGCTAACGGGTAGTATGTGCTGATGCTGCTGGCTTATGAACGCAGCACGCACATGAGGCGCGTGGCAATGATGAGAGAAGGAGACCATAACCCCTCTCATGTACGCCCAATTAAAGGTGGCTCCAGCACACTACCTGAGTTGGAAACTCTCCCGGCGGTTACGCCTGGACATCCTGATGAACGTGGTAAGCGCGACGTCGACGGTAGCACTCGTTCTGTTGCAAGTAAGTTAGCAACCTTTAACTCCTCAGCCGGCGCCAGGATTGGTTGAATCGTATCAAGTGGCAACCGACAGCGATAGTCATGTCCTGCCTCAAGCCGGTTAGCCCCCTTCTTGTGGTTTGAGAACTCGGCAAGCTACTAAAAATCAACCCTCGTAAGGTAGTGGATATTGATAATGAGTTAGACGCCCTGCTGGATCAAGAGCTTTCAAACGTACAACGCGCAGCTTGGGAACTTCCAGATGATGTGAGTGACGTACATGAGATTATATCTACCATCCGCCTGATACTCAACTGGGTTGGACTGAGGTCTTCATCGTCGAGCCCGTCTTGCCTTCAGCGGACACTTGGTACATGCACATCGCGCACGACTACGGGACACTATCGTATCAAAATCAAGGCGGTCGAGATCAAATTCGTAAGTAAAGTTGTCGCGGTCTTTAACCCCCTCCTAATGTAAAGCCATTGGAAAGTACCAGACGCAAATTGGGACCCTCTAGATGATGTGAGTAGCTCACATGAGGTTATGTGCACCTGCTATCTGACGCTCGTCTGTATGGGATCAAGAATTTCCATCCCAAAAGCTATTTCCATCCAGCGAGCGATCGGGACACACGCATCAACCACTATGGGACGTCATCGCATCAAGGTCAAGAAGCCCAGGGCGAGACCCGTTAGTAATGTCGTCAGGTATTCCATTCTGTCTTCTGATGTTGTTCATTCCCAAACTTTTCATCAGGGCCCGGTCTGAAGCGGAAAGGTTCAGCGGGCGGCGTGCGGGATGAGACGAGAAAGACGAAGAAAACTTGTAAATTCCTCGCCGTTTGTTTTAGATGAACAGCCGAGCGCTAATCCTTGTTTGCCCTGATTCAAAAGCGACGACCTCGGAACCCTTGCAGAACATTGCGACTGAAAATCGTCTTATGAACGGCCACGCTCGAGGTATGGGGACCTGACCCCGTTTGTCACCTACTGCGCAATTCGGCTAGTGGGACTGACGGCAAGACTTTTGTGTCCTTAGAAGAATCGCAGCCAACGGAGAGGGAAATTGTCGAATATATGGGGAATAATCCATCGAAAAAGCCATACATGATCGCCAATGATCTTGCGCCACTCGAACCACTGGGCCAACGCCGGATACTTGATATCGTGAAGTTGCGCCTTAGGACACACACGACACTCATGGAAGATAGACTTATCTTTAAGTATTATGCGGAGAACTTGCACCTGCGACAACGAGACATGGTCAAGGCGCTTTGCAAGGCCCTCCCAAGACTCAATGAGTCCTGGGTCCAGGTTATTGTCGAGTATCTCGATCACTTTTGGGGAGACTTCAAAAAACCTGGGGAGCTCAGACTTCCCGGACTGGACGAGGTGAGGACAATCTCCATACTAAGTGCCGTCAAAAAGTTATGTCACTCAAAGAGCTCCCGTAAATAGATCCATCAGGATCTCAAACCCTGGCGCCGAAGCCGTTCACTCAATAGATCGATCACCGAGGAGCAAATCGTGGCGGTGATCCAATTCTGGAAGGAACATCAGCGCATGAACCAAGTCGAAATTGTTCGATTGATTTCCAAACGATTGGACGTCATGCAAGCACCGATCCTGAAAATAGTCAAACACGCCCGTCAATATAAAGGCAACTGGAGAGACTATGTTCCTCCCAGTGTAGAAGAGGTGAGAGATCCCCGAAATACGTTTCAGCGGACTCTTTACTGGTCAACTAAAATATTTCGCCACCTACAGATCAATGGAACTGCGAAGAATGAGTCTATATCACCGAACACCAGTCTTAACGAAGTTGCTAGATAATTGGTGAAGTATATCGTGGTGCTATATACACGTCGCCATCACACACATGTAATACTTGAATCTTAATACACACCAATAAAATGGCTGATCAATTCAAGGCTAATATGGAGGTGCGTAGTGTATACACTTGGGGTAAGTTGTCAACCAGAAGTCTGATCTAGTCAGAGTGAGGAAAATCTAATCCAGCCGGTCAACCTGATCCGTCTTTAGACCCATGTAAAAATCGTAAATATAATATAATATTCTTCTAATATATGTAAATACCCGTGCATTGGCTTTATCTCGCTTAGGGGTGGCGGCGAAATCCAGCGTTTGTACGCTAAGAGCCATTTGCCACTAGCCGACCGGGTAATTACAACATAATGCATCCCACACGCTCTGTAACTTTGAATGATCTTTACTTGGCTAGCGCCTGCCTCGCTTCAAAAAAATTGCCGAGGAAAAATATTCCGATTTCACCAGTCGACCACGGTCATCAGTCCATCGCATTCAATCAACCCAAATCCCATAGACAGATCTCAATGCTCTCTCGTCGAACTACATACGTTATTCCCTGCCTTCTGGTTCTCGCACTATCCTCGCTAGCCAGGCCAACACACAAGTGAGTGACTACATTACCTCGTGGCTTCGGCTAGTGGGGCAGTATGCGCTGATACAGCTATCTTGTCCCGAACGCAGCATTCACATGAGACGCGTGGCAATGATGAGAGAGGAAGACCACAACCTCTCTCATGAGCACAGAATTAGGGGTGGCTCTGGCGCGCTGCCTAAGCTGACAGCCCTGGCTTCCAAGGGAGTGGTTAGGCCTGTACATTCTGCCGAAGAAATGCGCGACATAGGCAGTCGTTCTGTCACAAGTAGGTTATCGACATTTAACTCTATAGGCGGATGCCAGAGACTATGCTGATCGAATTGTGTCAAGTGGCAACTGATACAGATAGTCATCTCCAGGCTCAAGCTGGTGAGTTCTCTTCTTGTGATCCAAGAACTCGGTGAGTTACTGAATAGCAACCTCGCTGAAGCAGTGGATATCGACGATGAGTGGGACCCAATGCTGCACGGGGTGAATCACAAACTTTCGAACATACAGCACGCAGATTGGGAAGTTTCAGATGATGTGAGTGGCTTGCATGAAGTTATATCTACCTTCCGCCTGACACTCGTCTGGGGTGGGCCCAAGGGTTTTAATCTTCCTAGCGTTTTACCTCTAGCGGACAATTGGGATACGCCCATCATACATGACTACGAGATGCTACGGTATCAAGATCCAGAGGGCCGTAAGTGTTGCTGTCGTAGTGTTTTACGTGCGCCTAACGCTCGGGCGTTCGAAGTAGGAGACGTAGATTTGGATCCTCTAGACAATGTGAGTGACTCATCTGAGGCTGTGTATACCCTCTGACACTGGGATCAAGGATTTCGATCCTGATAGCTTTTTCCCTTCGGAGGACAATGAGGACACGCATACAACAAATGCCGATAGGATGTTATCCCATCTAGGTCGAGAAGGCCAAGGTCCCTCCCGTAATTAGCGTTGTCTTAATGTTCCATTCCTTTCGCTAAGATGTTCGAACTTTTCATTAGGGTCCAGTCTGAAGCGCAAAGGTTCGGCGGATGGCTTGCAAGATGAGATGAGAAAGAAGACTTGTAAGTTCCTCCAAGCCTTCCCTAGTGGAGCAGCCGGGCGATAACTCTTGTTTTCCTTGATTTAAAAGCGACGATGGCGGAATTCTTGAAGACAATCGAGGCTTCGAATGATCGTGTGGATCCAGGTACGGGTCCCGTTACCTTATGCGCGCAATCCAGGTGATCCGCCTGACGGCAAGATCTCGGTGTCCTTAGAGGATCCGGAGGAGAAGGAGGTTATTGAATATATGGAGAAAAATCCAGCAAAAAAGCCATA